TATATATATAAATATAAATATATATATATAAATCTATTTAAAAACAGTGCAGATGAATGCAAGAACGCATAAACGGCCCCTAACTCAGCGGAGGAATCGATCAGAACATCTCTGTCAGGAAACTTTAAAAGCCAAAAAGGCTGAACAAGAGGAGTCTGGTGACAAGTAAGTGTGTGTGTGAGCGAGGAAGAGAGAGCAATCGAGGGATGACATCATTGTTAGTGATCACTTCCAAGGCTGTATCTGCAGAAAAGAGGAGAAAAAGCTGGATACAACAGATGACATGGATGGATTATGCAGGTAGAGTGAGCGTAAACAAAACAAGATAGGCCGTCTTGCAAAAAGGTGAGGAAATTTCCAATGAGACTGCTGAAATGACCGAAAAGAATGGCTGATACAGCTCAAGTCTTCAAGAGTGAACGGTTATGGTTACGCTAAAGATGAATGTGCATGTGATGCATTATATACCTCAAACATACCACATAACATTAATATGCACAAATGATTGCATCTCTGCAGTCTTTAAAATTGCCCGCATTTACAGACAGGAAAAAACAGCATCATTTGCAATGAAAAACAATTATAACACCACCCGCAGTACAAAGTGTTCCCCGGGGGCACTGAACCGTCTCCCCTCAGAAATCTTTAGGACTTTAGGGCGTGTTAATCAAGACGATCGCTAAAAGACTCCAATAAAACAAAGGGCGTAGAAGAGCTCAAGCGGCAGAAGCCCCTTCTGCGCAAGCTGACTGTAAAACGCTGGACTCTAATAGGTTATTGACTATTGCATATGAGACAGGATGACATCACTGGCAGCCAATGGGAGAGCAGGAAGTGCGGAAGATGAGAAGAGTGTTTTTAATTTGTGTTTTGCTGAGCTCAGCTTCTCTCACACAAGAAAAAAGATGAGAAATGCATCAATGATGAACGTCGGTGTAATGACCAAATCCAATCTAAGCCTGTATGGCATGATGAGCGACTGGACTTATAAGCCTGAAGAGCATTCTCAAACATACTGAGGAAGTCCTAAAAGGCAAAAACTCAAATCAATGCTGAAACTTGATATGAAAAAAAAACCTTTCCTACACCACTGTAAACTGGCCTTACCACATTGTCAGAGGATATTCATGTCAACCAGTCACAACCTTACCACATCTACCCTATACATATAGATCCTCAGTTCATAAGAGTGCTCATGTGTCAGAAGACATATTTTAGAATCTGTGCAGCAACTCGTGAAAGATGAGAAATGCATCAATGATGAATGTCGGAATTAATAAACGGAAGGGAAGAGGGGCTGTTGGCATGTTGTCGAGTGGGCACGGGTCAGCCACGCTCTCCGTGCGTCTGTCACTCTGTATCCAGGGAGACCGGAGCTGGAATCGCTTTTCTTTTCTTGTCGACCGTGTATGTGTGTGTGTTCATGCTTGTGTGCTTTTGCTGTACACTGAATGCATATTCATGCACACATGCAAATGTTTGTAAATCCTCCTTGACCATTAGTTAGAATTTACTGCGTGTGCACTTGTCTGTCTTCGATACACCTGATCGTGAGTCATTCCTCTATGCGCTCCTCTCTACCTCCCACATGAAACCTTTCCTCTTTCGTTCTCTCGTTTTTCTAAAATATGTAACCCCGTGGCAAAAACAGCTTGCCATCTCCATGACAACACACTGTTGATCCACAAATCACTGGTTGGTTAGCACAGGCTCTAGCTGGGTGACGTAATGTTGTCTCTGGTCTTCTGTGGCCACTGGACTTCACCACTTCTTGGCTGGGCTTTTAAATGGCAACCATGGTGCGTGTCTGCCAAAACACTTATGAGAGTGTATGCAATGGTGTGAGTATTTCCACACTGAGTAACTAACCTGTTATATAACTACAGGAAATGGGTGCTGGATACACTTTGCAACGTTTCACGGTTGGCTTAATGGCATTCATACCACTCAAAGGTTAGACTTATGGGTAGATGTGAATGGATCTATTTAAACAACAAAGGTTACGTAAAAAAAATGATATAATAAAGAGATGTCATAGGCCTCAATTAAATATATATATATATATATATATATATATATATACAGTATATACATAAAAATAAATAAATAAATACATATTTTTTGTGACATTGTCAACCTGCAGAATTATTTATATAGTTGTGATGCTTAAACTGTGACAACTAAGGCTTTACCTGTGCACATGTGTGCCATACACAGTGTCAAGATGTCAAGGGCTTTGCTGGACTACGTATTCTGCACTTCAGTGGCATAACAGATTACAATCTCTAACACAGTCCCTTTTTAAACTAAATAAAAGTCTCAGTCTGAAATAACAATTGCATGTGAACTACAGTGATAAAAGGAGTTTTCTCCTATAGGAAATTCAAGCTCTACCTAGTCATTTTAGTAGAGAGGAAGAGGGTGAGGGGTGTGTGTGTGTGTGTGTGTGGACTGTTTGAGGTTGTGGACAGGTGTCTTTTATACTGATAATGAGTTCAAACAGATGCCATTAATACAGGTAACGTGTGGAGGACAGAGGAGCCTCTTAAATAAGAAGTTACAGGTCTGTGAGAGCCAGAACTCTTGCTTGTTTGTAGGTGACCAAATACTTATTTTACCGAGGAATTTACCAATAAATTCTTTAAAAATCCTACAATGTGATTTTCTGGATTTTTTTTTCTCATTTTGTCTCTCATAGTTGAGGTATACCTATGATGAAAATTACAGGCCTCTCTCATCTTTTTAAGTGGGAGAACTTGCACAATTGGTGGCTGACTAAATACTTTTTTTCCCCAATGTATATATATATACATATATACGCACACATTTAAGGTCACACTTTATTTTATGGTGTCCTTGTTACAAGTTACATGTACTTACTTAAATGAACTTAAATTATAAATAATTACACGCAAGTAACCCTAAACCAAACCCTAATCCTAATCCTAACCATACAGTAAGTGCATGAAGTTAATTAATATTACTCAGTACATTGTACACAGTACATTATTCAGTAAATGTATAATTACACTGTAAAAAGGACACCTTAAAATAAAGTGTAACCACATTTAAAAATGAGATCTGTAAATTGCCCATGTAACACAATATTGACCCAAAACACATGCAAAAGAAATTGCTTTAAAAAGGAAATTGAGTTTTGTAATGACCAAATCCAATCTAAGCCTGTATGGCATGATGAGCGACTGGTCTTATAAGCCTGAAGAGCATTCTCAAACATACTGAGGAAGTCCTAAAAGGCAAAAACTCAAATCAATGCTGAAACTTGATATGAAAAAAAAACTTTCCTACACCACTGTAAACTGGCCTTACCACATTGTCAGAGGATATTCATGTCAACCAGTCACAACCTGACCACATCTACCCTATACATATAGATCCTCAGTTCATAAGAGTGCTCATGTGTCAGAAGACATATTTTAGAATCTGTGCAGCAACTCGTGAAAGACCCTTTGCCCTTTTATGGATTTGTGCATGTGAGCATAAGTGTGCACATGTACTCTAAAGAAAGTGACATGAACATGCCCAGGTCATGCTAGTGCACATGTGACATTGTCAACCTGTAGAATTATTTATATAGTTGTGATGCTTAAACTGTGACAACTAAGGCTTTACCTGTGCACATGTGTGCCATACACAGTGTCAAGATGTCAAGGGCTTTGCTGGACTACGTATTCTGCACTTCCGTGGCATAACAGATTACAATCTCTAACACAGTCCCTTTTTAAACTAAATAAAAGTCTCATTATCTGAAATAACAATTGCATGTGAACTACAGTGATAAAAGGAGTTTTCTCCTATGGGAAATTCAAGCTCTACCTAGTCATTTTAGTAGAGAGGAAGAGGGTGAGGTGTGTGTGTGTGTGTGTGTGTGTGTGTGTGTGTGTGTGTGTGTGTGTGTGTGTGTGTGTGAATATGCGTTTATTTGCTTCATCTAATACAACAGTAGTGCTGAGTTTTTTGGAAACAGCATCTCCCAAAAAAGTACGGAGCCAGAGCACTCCCTTGTGGTGCTAAATAAGAACTTCAGCTAAACTTTGCAAACTTTTTTAACAGCAGTGGCCTGGATTTACACTGTGGAACACTGGAAGTTACTCAACTGCTCAAAAACATTTTATTGTTGTTTTTTCTCTTTACCTTTTCATGTTTTTGCATATTTTACAATTAGGATTGTCATCCTTAATTTTTTTCTTCTGAACCACTGAACACACAAGAGCAACATTTTTTTTCTTTTTTTTATCTCAGATTTGTCTGAATAAATTATATCCCATTCATGATTACTTTATCATTATACTTTTATCTTTTAATTAAGACTCTCAAGACTCCCATACAATTAACTCAGGTAAACAGAAACTTAATGGTTGTTTAATAACTAGATGCCTATTTTGGCACATGTACATTTTCTGAAATTAGAATGTGCAAAATAAACTAATTATGAAAAAAAAGCATGTTATGAACTTACCTGTTTCCAAAGCCTGCAATAATTCTGGGGATCCAGCGGAGGTCTGGCCAGACCGGTACAGTGGCTCATTCTCCCAGTCTTGAGCACAGGACAGAGGTCAAATGTCATGTCTATAATCTGATGAGTTATCATGCTAACCAAAACCATTAAGTAAATTGAACTGTTGGAGAGATAAGGTACATTTAAACCCCTTACAAAAGGTACTGTGGTGGTACAATGGTAAAGTAATGGTATTAGATGGCAAAAACATTGCATTTTGATATATACACTACCTTCCAAAAGTTTGAGGTCAGTTCAATTCAGCTTTATCATTACATGAATAAATTGCATTTTAAAATATCTCAAAATAGAAAATGAAAATGGTTATTTTAAATTGTAATAACGTTTCACAATATAATTATTCTTTCATTTTTTACTGTATTTTTGATCAAATAAATGCAGCCTTGATGAGACCAAACCCAAACTTTTGAATGACATTATCATTATTACCATGCTACAATAGAACCTTTCATATGTAATTAACTGATTTTAGAGATGAGTTTTTTTCTACTTGCAAAAATAAATATATTTATGATGAAGGAAATATACAATTGCGCACCCATAATACAATTAATAGAATTTGTCAATAACATCATAGGTCACCAATGTAAATGCTAGATTGGTGTCTGACTCTCTCTGAATAGTTAAATTAGATAGGTGAGGCAGAAGAGCAAACTCACCCAGCCTCTCTAGAGCCTCCGACAGCCTGAGCACCACGGCTGGGGTCTGGTCAGGCAGAGTGCACTGCTCCACAACATCTCCCTTTCCACAGAGGCCTGTCAGAGAAGGAGAGAGAGAGAGAGAGAGAGAGAGAGAGAGAGAGAGAGAGAGAGATGATGATGAGAAATCCCACTGGTGAGACCAAATTCCCTGATTAGGAGGCTGCCTGTAAACCCACATCTCATTTCTCCTAGGGAACAGTCAGGTTGTCATATTCACACAAGCATGGTAGATATGCAACATAATACTCAAGTCTCAACTCACACACATTTAGGTTAATGCAATAGTTCACATAACCTCTAAAAGTCAGAATGAATCTAGTTTATTTACATTTTTACAAATACTAACACATTTTGCCATTTAAAGTTACATTTAAGCATGCATTTAGTACAACATTAGTTATTATGAGCTAATGTAAACTAAAAATGACCAGTAATATATATATATATATATAAAAATGAACATTAAAGGGACAGTCCACTCAAAAATTTTAATTCCGTCATCATTTACTCACCCTCATGTCATTCCAAACCTGTATGACTTTCTTTCTTCTGTGGGATGCAATGAAAATATTTTGAAGAATGTTGGTAACTAAACAGTTTAGATTCCCATTGACTGCCATTGTATATTTTGTCCATACAATGGAAGTCAATGGGAATCTAAACTGTTTAGTTACCAGCATTCTTCAAAATATCCTCTTTGTGGCCCACAGGAGAAAGAAAGTCAGTTTTGGAATTACATAAGTAAATGATAGAATTTTCATTATTGGGTGGACTATCCCTTTAAATGCCACAAATTATAAACATTTCGTCCAAATGGGTTTTTAAAATTCAGTATATGATATGTCCTCCAGCAGAATGAAATACAGTGCATAATGTTTCATAAGCATTAATGTCTCGATCTCCACTGTCCTTCCACTGAGCACTGACCTTCTGCTGAGGTTCCAGTTGGGGAGTGTGTCCATATATCTCTACATGTGGGCACTTATATGCATTCAGACCACCATGGATAAAATCCTTGAGGGGGTCTGATTTTTAGTATTGACATTTAGTAATGTCAATGACACAATGTCCATTTGTGTGAAAGAGAAACGGCAGAATTCTTCACATGACACCCTGTCTATGTTGTCCTGGGACACTGAGCATGTCACACATGACCAGAGAGCATGGTGAAGAGTGGAAACATAGCAGACTGTGCATAGGTTCCAGTTGGGGAGTGTGTCCATATATCTCTACATGTGGGCACTTATATGCATTCAGACCACCATGGATAAAATCCTTGAGGGGGTCTGATTTTTAGAATTGACATTTAGTAATGTCAATGACACAATGTCCATTTGTGTGAAAGAGAAACACGGCAGAATTCTTCACATGACACCCTGTCTATGTTGTCCTGGGACACTGAGCATGTCACACATGACCAGAGAGCATGGTGAAGAGTGGAAACATAGCAGACTGTGCATTAAAAGACTATTAGCCCTTAGAACAAAATAAATATGGAATTTGTCAAATATTATTGAAAAATTGATATTCAATAACAATAACCTTTACAATAAGGTACAGCTGTAAACGCATTAGGTACCATGAACTAACCATAAAAGCATTTATTAATCTAGGTTAAAGTTTATTCATAAATATACGAATAAACGAATATTGTTCATGCTGGTTACTCGTGTTTGTTCATAATACATTAATGTTAATTTATACTACTTATTATATTAAAAATTTTAGTATATGCAGAATTAATAAATGTTGTAACTGAAACTTACTGTAAAGTCTAACCTCTTAAAAAGTTTAAGGTGAGGGTGACAAACAAATTTTGTGAAATGTAAAAGTTTGCTAACTAAGAAAACGTGATGAAGTGTTCCTTTCACACATGCAAATAAAGTCTAAAGGTCATATCACAGTAATGCATCACCCACGTAACTACATGGAATAAACATGATTTCATCTTGTGCCCAGATATTAATATTACTAACAAAAAAACTAAAATAAACAAACATTAACTTTTCATTTAAGCTACTACATAGCAAACTCAGAGAGGGATTTTCTTTTCTCTCTAAACAGGAAACTTTACTCAATTTATATCAGTATGTGGTTCCATTTACATCAAATTTGCATTATAGCGAGAAATTCTGATTTTCTGCACCATTATGTGAAGCATGAGGTTTAGTGTTGTATACTGGCTCTTTAGAGTTATCTTCAGTGACAACACTAATTAGCACTGATGTGCACCACCCGCTAATGTCTACACAGATACCAATGCTATCTCTCGTTTTCTCTTTCTGTAATTAGGAAATGGCTGTTTATTTAACAGAATCTCACACACAAGCATCTGTTGACAGCAGGAAAAGTTTGCGTTCCCATGCACGGGTGTAATTGGTGCGCTAATTTGCACAGCAGTGGCCCTTGTTGCACCCCGCTGTAATTTTCGCACGGGAGAATCACGCTACAAGGTGGCAATACTTTCTGGACTGTGCTGATTTAGGTTTTGTTTGTCAAAGAACCATGATAAATGTTTAGTAGAAGTGTCAATTAGATCTGACAGTTTCAATCTAACCGGAAGCATCAGCATCTGCAGTACAGGAACTGATTAGACCCATCATTACTTTTGACTTACCATATGCAAATGTATAAGTTGCTGTGATCCTTTAGAAGTAATATAGATGAAGCTACAGGAACAAGAAAGGGGGAGATGACAGTGATAAAAAAACAAAAAAACAGAAAGATTAATGAAAAGTTCCTCTGAGGCTTTGATGCAGGTGGCACAAAGACGGTGGAGGTTTGAGATTACACACGTTAACGGCGGAGCGCATTGGTATTCCAACAACACACGGTGCATTTAATTGCTCCACATCCTGCTGGTTTCTCTATGGACCTCGACAAGCGACGCCTTATGAATGAGCAAACAGGTCAGAGCACGATAGGAGGAATCATAATTCTCTCTCTCTCTCTCTCTCACACACACTTTCTCTTGCTCTCCCTTGTTCCTTTTGTTTTGGAAGCCTCACATTTCTTAATTGTTGGCCAGCCAAGATTTATAAGACAGGAGATTAATGTGGAGCTGTGTGCAAACTATATCTTTCATTATAGAGAAACTAAAGATGTAGGAGTGGCATTTTAACTTAGATGGTTAGTTGATGAATTATATGCAGGAAGTATGTGAACCCTTTATCATGGATTTCTATAGAAATTAGCCATAAAATTTGATCTGATCTTAATGAATAAGAGACAAACAAAATAATAAATGTTGTCTTAATTGATCACAACAGTGGAGGGTGGAAAAAGCATGTGAATAAATGAGATTTGTTTAAGCAGATTATGTTTGTCTATTGATGTAAGCAAGATCAAATTTTGTGACCAATTCATGCATGTGTTAAATCCATTTTTTTCCTGTCACTGTATTATATAAACGATTGCCACAACACGCTCAATGCATGAGGCATCGGGAAATAATTTCAGACATCTGACTTGGTATTTTCCGATTGTTTTTCTTTCTTTTTTTTCATGTGCTTCAAATGTCAAAACTCTGCCCTTCGATTTGCACCAGCGTGAACTTGTGTTTACATTTCTGGCACCACACATGTGCGTGAGGACTTTCACGTTTATATGTGTGTGTGAAAGCGGTCACAGGTTATTTGGCTTTGTGTAGAAGGCAGTGGGCAGATTTCCTTTCAATTGGAGTGCTACTATGCGTTTGGTGCTTCAATTAACGTCACTGTCAGAAAACATCACTGAGGCAATTTCTCAAAATGTAAGGCACAATCTGATGGGTGAGGGACAGCAAAGAACAGAGGAACAAGAGGGAAAGGACAGGGCATGGGAAAAGCAATACTGAGAACAACACCGCGGCAACTAAAACAACAATGCTGTTGTTTCAATTTACATGCTACTTTCGAGAAATTGTTATTCTGTATGTACGATCCAAGTACTGCTGCATTTCTTCAGAGTCATGTTCAGTAGTCCCTCCTACTGTGAAATCTCATTGTCTCACATATAGGATGCACAATATCACATTGTTTTCTGGCCACTGTCTGAGATTTACAAATTCATCGTTATCATTGATATTATATGATATATGACAACTAATAATATTCAATAAAAACTAAATGTTATTTAGCAAATTGTTTATTTTAAATTACACTACTGTTTAAAAGTGTGGGGTTGAAAGAAATCCATACTTTTATTTATCAAGGACACATTCAAATTGTCAAAAGCAAGAGGAAAGCATTGATAATAACTTTTTTTTTTCGAGAGCACCAAATCAGCATATTAGAATGATTTCTGAAGGATCATGTGACACTGAATAATGAGTAATGAGTAATGGCTGCAAAAAAAAAAAGTCAGTGTTGTCATCACAGAAATAAATTACATTATAAATATATTAAAGAATTTAAAAATATATATTTTAAATTGTAATAATATTTCACAATATTTCTGTTTTTGCTGTATTTTTGATCAAATAAAGACTGAGAATAAGGGACTTTTCATAAAACAAAAAATTATTCACAAAATTCACATTTTTTTCAATTATTTATACAAACTTTTAATAGAATTTCGATTATTGGCATTTAGAAGTTATTGGCCACTATTTGAAAATAATTATCATATTTATTGTAATTAATAATAATTATCAGCTTACTGTATCAGACAGAATTCCTACGCATGGATGCACCGATATACACACATTAAATTAAACATCAATCACCTTCTGATTGGCTGTTCGTGTCATGTCATGCAGCAGATTCACACTCAGAGCAAACAAACGAACTGCTTGTCGCTGGAGGCTTGTCACATTGTGCCCGCTGTTACATATTTGCAAGCACTTTTCCAGGTGCTTTGCAGTTCAAACACATGCTAATTAGCTTGCAGGTAACTTAAGATAATCAAAAGATCTGCAAAAAAGAAAGGACAAAGCAAACAAAACATGGCACTATTGGTAAAGGACCTCTAGGGGAATTACATCTCCACTTAATATCTATTGTTGATCCCATTAGTGGCATTTATGAGTGTAAAGCACGAGACTATGTTCAACTGTGAGGTGTCTCTGTCACTGT